CATGCGTTGACCCGATTCGGTGGCTCAGTCTATCTCTGAAGGCTGAGTCCCTTGGTCTCGCTCTTAAATCTTACTTTTGTCTCTTGTACTTATTCAATCTACGCCACCCCTCTCGTGTCCCATTTGCCCTTGCCACGCTGGACGTGACACTAAATCCTGAAAATATTTAGAAATTAAGAGCTTTTTGAAAAACTAGAGAAGTTTCTTGGGCTTAGTTTCAGATAAAAAATACTTGAGGGCAAGAATCACATCTTAACCACCTTTGTATTCCCAACACCTGGTACAATGCCTAATAACGTAGTATACTAAAGTTATTGAGGGTCCACATATATTCGAAATCTAGATCAAATTTATGACCATTTTATAAAAATGAGTAAGACTTTAACATTTTTAATCATTCATTCATTCAACTAATGTTTGAGTAATTCCCACATGCTAGGTATTGAGTTGGTCACAGAGATATAACCAAGATAGACATAATGCCTATGTTCGTGTAGTGACTATTTTAGTAGGGTATAAAAGAGCAACAAATAAGTGAATAAGCAAAAGAATGACAGATTATGATAAATATTAAGAAAATCGCAAGAGAGGAGGAGCTGACCTTTGATATCTTAGAATGGATCTTTCTGAAGGGAAGACATTTAAGCAGAGACTTAAAAGCTTAAGTCTACCAAAAACAAGCATGTTTAAACAAGACTGGAGGGGAGGATCAAAGAGGACAGAACTGTCAAAAAATCATCCAGGCCATGCATAGGAAAAAAGGTCTCACAGATTGGCAGAGTTTAAAGTGATCTTAGAAAGAATCCAAAACCCAATACAGAAGATCATTTGTAACTACTAAAATCGCAATATCATGGATAAGGCTCAAAATCTGCATTTTTACCATCTTCTAATAAAAGAAACCAGAGCTCCCTGGAGAAATGGCTCATTCTATGGCTGGGACAGGAAAAATACTAAATAAACACAAAATTTCCTGATGCCAGAAAATTAGGGCGTATTCTCCTCCCTCAAAAAAAACAAAAAAGCAATAAAACCCCACAAAAGGTGCTTTCTAACGGACACAGGAGCCATCTTCAAGGCACTCACAATGGTCAAAACTGGAACAATCTGAGCAACAAAATTAATAATGACAGTATTGGATTGCAGCCCATAAAAAAATCCACTACTCCACATGGATATAAAGAATTGAATTAATAAATAAATGGGAGAAGAGACAGCTCTTCATAACAGAAGAATTTAAATTAACAAATGTAAAAGAAATTAAGGAAAGAGAAAACAATGATTAAGCAAACACCACAGAAATAATTGTTGCAGGCAAGAACCATCACTGGATGCTAAAACAATATTTACAACGTCTCAAATTATCTACCCTACAACAGATATATTAATTACAAAGGGAAAAACAATACAGTCGGCGCTCTATATCTGTGAATCCATAGCTGTGAATTCTGCATCCAAAGATTCAACCAACCATGGATCAAAAGTACTTTTACAAAAGTTGTGTTGGTGCTAATATATACTATGGTAGTTGGGCCTAGGATGGCTGCATCTGTATTGAACACGTACAGACTTTTTTTCTTGTCATTATTCCGTAAACTATACAGTGTAACAACTATTTACATAGCATTTACCTTGTATGATGTATTGTAAGTAATCTAGAGATGATGGAAAGCATGCGGGAAGATGTGTGTCGATTATATGCTAATACAATGACATTTTATATAAGGCACTTGAACATCCATGGATTTTAGTATCCACGGGGTCCTGGAACCAATCCCCCGAGGATACCAAGGGACAACGCTGTAATTTGACAATGGAGAAATTGGGAAGTCATCATCTTAACCAAGTCAAGATTAATAGTACCAGCAATAAGACAAATCAACATCGTGTATTCTCTAATAAAATGCGCTGAAAAAGGTACAGCATCCCTTCTGGGGTATCCTTGCCATAAATGCATAACCTCACTCCAATCATGAGAAAATATCAGAGAAACTCAAACTAAGGGATAATCTACACTATAACTAGCACCCACTCTTCAAAAACATCATGGAAAACAAGAAAAGGTCATGGAAGACAAAATAAAAAAAAAGACTGAGTAACTGTTATAGACTGGGTGGCACTAAGGAGACATGAGAACTAAATGCAATGTAGGATCCTGAACTGACCGTGAGCAGAAAAGGACACTGGTGGGAAAATGCAAAATTCAAATAAGGCTTGCAGACTAGTTACCAGTATTGTACCAACATTACTTTCCTGGTTTTGATCATTTTATTATATCATGGTAATATAATATGTTAATATTGGGGGAAGCTGAGCAAAGGATTCAGACTTCAATTTTTGCAAATTTTCCAGAAGTCAAACATTATTTAAAAAAAAAACAAAACTTAAAACTAACTGAAAACAGTAACAATTTAACAAACAGCTTTAGGTGATTACTATGCACACTGAAGTCTGAAAACTACTAATGTAGAAAAACTGCAAACATACAAGAAAAGGTTGGCATGTTATAGGAACTGTTGCAGTACTAATTAAATACTAGAATGGAAAACTGATCTGGCCACATACAAAAAAAAGTTCTTATTTTCGTAAATGTTAATAAATGGAAAGACATTTTACTCACCTTTATATCACTACCTGGTGTGGCACTAAGAGCCAAGATTCTGAAGTGATTTGTATATTTGACTAGTTCTCTTACAACCTTAAAAAAAAAAAAATTCTTTAATTTCATCTGCCTAATACAAAAATAACAATGATTCTTACATAAGCTATTATATACGGCCCACTATCGTTATCCCTTTATTCACAGTATTGATGGTATAGTGGATGGAACTATCATTAGTCATATTATTTGAAGAGCAAATGATTTAGGCTTATACTCCAGTCTACACCAATCAAACACACTTTAGGGTTTCTTCTGTATATATAGCTATGGCATTAAGGCCTAATACAGAGGCAAATCAAAACACTCAGAAGGCTAATTCAAGGGCAAATGGAAGAAAAGAGAGTCCACTCTCCATTGCTTGGGCCATAGTCTAGACTTACAGCTATATCCATATGCACATTTACCAGATTAAGACAAATCATAACATGAAAATAGAAAACATTTAAATACCAATATAAAATTAGATTTGAAATGAAGAAAGTTTTAGGATTTTAAAGAAATTAGATTTTATGTGAAGGCGCACATTTTTAAACTAAATTTAATTAATAAAAGAATAAGGCTAATTTGGGGTAGTTTTAAAAATCTAACTTTCCTTTTAAATCCTAACACATTTTCTCAGTGGCACCAAAGCATGATTCTAGGCTTTGCAGTTTAGATTCAACACCATTTCTGGTCTGATTAATACTGGATAATTTGCCAGATTCTCATATGCCCCTTCACATGAGACCCCAATACAAGGAAAAAAGACCCCTAAGTAAACTGAGTTGCAGGACTAGTTCTCAGTATCTCATAGTTTCACATTAGATTCATAAAACGGTAAAACCAGATTATTTAAAAACTGCTCTAAGGCTGGCCAAGTGGCATGTTGGTTAAGAGTTGGCGTGGGAGCATGAGCTCTGAGCAGCAGGGCCCGGTTCGGATCCCACATGAGGGCCAGTGACACTTCACCCTCTACAGCTAAGATGGTAAATAACAGCTCTACCTGGAGCTGGGCTGCTGTGAGTTGCCCACGACAGCGTAGGCTGCTCTGGGGCTGCAGTGCGATGCTGTAAACTACCGTGAGTGGTCAGCAGCTGGAGTGAGCTTTCGTGAGCCGCCATGAGGCTGTCCAATGGCCAGTGAGCGACTGCCTCACCCGGGAAGAGCGCAATGATCACAATACCAACATGGGCCAGTGAAGTGACATCCTCCACAACTAGACTGAAGAAAAGGACAGCAACTTGTCTGTTCCCCTTCCCCAATTCCCCAACACTGTTTCCTTCCCCCAATTCCCCAATAAAATCTTAAAAACAAAACTGCTCTAATTTCACTCCCTGTCATGGATGAATTCAATGAGACTCACAGTGAATCTTGATTAACACTCAGAAAATATTTCTGGAGTTTTTTTTGCTGTTGTTGCTGTTTTAAAGATTTTATTGGGGAATTGGGGGAACAGCTTTGGGGAATCAGGGAAGGGGAACAGACAAGTTGCTGTCCTTTTGTTCTTCAGTCTAGTTGTGAAGGACGTCACTTCATTGGCCCATGTTGGTATTGTGAGCATTGTGCTCTTCTCAGCTGAAGCAGATCAGTCGCCAGCCATTGGATGGCTGGTCACAGCAGCTGATGCCAGCTGCTGCCACTCACGCTGGCTGCCGGATAATCACGGTAGCTATGGCAACCCACTGCAGCCCACTGCAGCCTACGCCATCACAGGTGACTCATAACAGCCCAGCTCCAGGTTGAGCTGTTGTTCACCATCTTAGCTCTAGAGGGTGCAGCGTCACTGGCCCATGTGGTGCTCCCAAGCCAACTCTTAACCAACAAGCCACTTGGCCAGCCCCGCTGGAGTTTTTTTTAACATGATACAGAATGCATATAAAGTTGGACATTATATTTAATCGAGACTTAAATAGAACTGTTCTACAATAATTAAAAACTGATGCAAGACAAGATGTCCCTAATACATAACTTTTTTTCCAGGAGGGATTCTCAAGCATTTTGTAGCAGAGGAAATAGTGCTGTGTTTGTAAACCCAGAAGCTACCTTCTTTATCGAGCTGATGTGCTTGTTAGAACCTATATCTGGAATATTCAATGTAGCATAAACTTTCAGAGATGACTGGGTATGAATGAAGTCAATGCACATCTCAGTGTACTCAAGAAAAGCATGAGCCTTGTAGTTTTAAAAAGAAATCACCTAATGCCTAGAAATTGTTTGAAAGTAAATGAGTTAAAGTTGCTAAACATAAGCTGAATCTTCAAAATAAATTCCACAGTTAGAATAAAAATTTGCAAATGTCCCTCTCAAGCAGAAACCTTAACACACTGGGTATTAATTAACTTTGAAAAATATAAATAAATTGAAAAATATATCCAATTCTTGGCTGAGATCAGCTCTAAGAAAGGTGACAATTCTCCAGAAGATGCTACAGAGATATAATACAATAAAAAAGTCCCCAAAGAAACTACTTTACAAATCCACAGTGAAATTCATATCATTGCACTAAATGAAACAACTTCCCCTTCTATCCTTACTCGATAAACTCTTCCTAGTATCACCAGCTATTATAGTTTTAACTATCTACCACCTACATGATTTCCAAATCTGTATCTCCAGCTAAACACTCTCCATGGAGACCCATCCTTCTATCACCTCCTGCCTGCTGGATATCTACAGCTAAATCCTTCATAGACACCTCAAACAACAATCAAACTGCACCATCTTTCCATAATACCCCAAATCTTCTCTGCCTCCAGAACTCTTTGTCTTGACTAGCAGCACCAACATCCTCACAATCTTCCAAGTCAGAAATCTGGGAATCATCCTAAATGTCTCCTATCCCTCAGTACACCTGCCATTAGCCTTCTCTCCTCTAATCTCTTTTAAATCTTAAGTATCACCCCAGCTAAACATTATGTCATTCAATCCTTAAAAACAACACTAACAGTTAAGTATTATTTTACCTACCTGCCAAGGAATGACACTATCCACTACCAATCTTTGGGTTATCTTAATTCCAAAACTCCACCCATATCCTACTTTAGATCCCTGCCTCAATGATGATTAGGCTCTCATCATCTATATCTGACACTAATAGCCTTGTTAAGCATTAAGAAAAAAAAAAGACAGCAAAGACACTGATTAGAGTAGATGAAGAAAGTATTTCCTATCACTATTCTGAGTTAATGTAAGGTTTTTCATATTGATAACACCATCAATAACTTCCACCATTAATAATTATTCCCCAAAATACTCTTTAACAATGTTTACACTACAAAATACTTTTTAAACAAGACATTACCTGGCAATAAGCATAGTTTCCAAGAGCTTTATGAGCTTCATCAATAACTAGACACTTGATTTCAGCAGCAGGACAAGCTCCTCTAGAAAGGTCATTTATCATGACTTGAGGTGTAAGAAAAAGGACTCTCTTACTGCTCCATATTTCCTTCCTAATGAAAGCTTGAGTAGATCCTGTAAATAAAATTGACACTGCGTAAACGATGGGGTCTACACAATCGCTTCAAAATGTTCTGACAAGCTACAGGGATTCTCTTAAGATTGAATAAAGCAAACCTATTCATTAGGGCTAGACTTGCTACATGTACAGGCATACATTGGGGGTTCGGTTCCAATAAAGCTAATATCACAATAAAGCTGGTGGTAATCTTTTAGCTGATGGAGGGTCTTGCCTTCAATTTGTTAAGAATTGCAACATCTGTGAAGTGCAATAAAGCAAAACACAATAAAACAAGTTCTGCCTATAGACGGTATTTTAAGGGGAAAGTTGTAAAAACAAAAACAAAACAAAACATTGCGATCTGGGTACTATTTCACATGGCTCAGAATTCCTTTAGCTCAATTTCCAAGAGAACTTGTAGTTTCTCCTGGGTACTCAACTCTTAATTTCAAATTAGCCCATTCTTTTTAAAATACCTGTCATTTCGGCCATGTGGGGCTGCGGGATGCCCATCACTCGGTAGCAAGCCTCGATCTGTTGTGTCACCAAAGGTTTCGTGGGGGCCATGAAGACCACTTTGCCAGACGGGTACCAGCGGTAGAAATTGTACATGACCACGGCGGCAATAAAGGTCTTTCCCAACCCGGTGGGAAGACACACCAGCGTGTTGCAGAACAGAGCGGCTCGGGCGATGTGCAGCTGGTAGTCCCGCACTGGGCAATTAGTAGGGTAAACCCACAGGGCTCCCGCTGAGGTGCAGAACCCGCCATTCTCTAGACTCAGCTGCCGCTCTGCCTCATACACTGCGACCAGCAACACATCATCGTCCGACTCCAGCTGTTCTTCGGCGGCCTCTGCCGCGACAGGAAGACGCGCCTTGGAGATGCCAGGGCGCTGAGGCCGCTCAGTTCCAGAGCTGCAACCCGTAGGCGCAGCGGATCGGGAGACGCTCGAGCCCCACGTCTGGAAAAGCGTCCTTTGCCGTCCGCTCATGAGGCCGACAACCACCAAAGGCTCCTCTCAGACGTCAGCAGCTGCAGCAGCTCAACAGACACCGTTCCGATCCCCATGGGTTACCTTTGCACAAAACAGTGGAACTGGAGGGCGGGACTGGGGCCACTTTATCCAGTTGAAAATGCCGCCACTGAGTTTGCGTTGAAAATATGATTGGCTGGCTTCCCGGAAACCCTCGCCCGGAGACGCATGCGCATTATTTTGGAGTTACTCTAAATTTGTTCCCCTTTTCAGTTTTTTTAGACTCTGAATTTGAGTTCCGGCAGGGCGTCATTGCTAAAATAATACCACTTGAAATAATAAAAATAAGCTGGAGACCCCGAGGACGATGGATACTCATATTTCAGTGAACTTAATGTTATTGATAGTCTAATGTGCTTATTCCTTGTTGGTTTTTTTTAAGTCTGAACATGAGGTGAAACCGAAAGTGTTTAGATTGAATTAAATAACTTGTCTTATTTCTCTCTCCAGGCTGAAAAAACAAAATGTCGGGTCTCTTTTCTGCAGTATTAGGAGTGGCAATCCATTATCTTAATATGTTTATTCTTAAAAGAGAAGTAAATGGCTTGGTCCTGCTAGTCGTTGGAAAATCCAAAAGAACAAATGTTCTGATGCTCCTTTACATCTTCACAAATGTTAGGGTCGGTGTGGTATTAATCTACTCTAGTGATAGCTTTCTACCTCAGACTTGAATACAATTCGCAGCTTCTCCACTCTAAACCTGGTGACTTTAGGTCACCTCTGTAAATTTGTTCCCTCGTGTATTGAGGAAAAGTACGCACATACCAAGAAATGTCTCAAGCATTAATGTCACCCTCATCACTACCACCAGCAAGCGGTCTCCTGCGTATAGCTTCATTACATTGTTTTATTTGGTCAAGCTCCTGAATTTGCTTTTACACACCGTTTCTCTTGTGTTTGTATTTTGGGGGGGGGGGGATAGGGGAAGAGACATTGTATTTTAGTTTCATCTGAATGAGTTTTATAACGGAGGTGGGTCCCCCTTCCTATCATCAGAGGACCACGTGGGAAGATGGCTTGTCTACCAACTTGGAAGCGGGCCCTCAGCTGACATCAAATCGGCCAGGGCCTTGATCTTGGACTTCCATCCTGTAGAATTCTGAGAATTACATATTGGTTGGTTAAGCAAAAAATAAAATAAATTTAAAAATAAAATAAAACGGAGGTGGGATATGGGTTGTTCTGATGACAAGGACTGAGTCAATTTAGGTGTGAGCTTTTAGTCTAGAACTAAATGAAATGAAATTAGATGTCCGAATGTTGCTGTTTTCTTCAAATAGATTATAGGCTTTAAAGGCATAGCAGCCCGTCGGTAAAAAAAAAAAAACAACAAATAAGCAAATATGAGTAATGTCTGGTAAACATCACTACCATCAGAGGTCTCCTCACAAGGGTTCCAACTGAAGAGTACCTGACACCATTCAGTTTTCTGTGTAGTTGGCCATTAGGGCCACATCCGCTGAGTTTTCACCCGGACTCAACAAAGTAGCCCTCAAAGCACAGCCTTGACGTCACTCAAGGACGCGCTCCAATCCCGCCGCGTAGCGCAATGACCCCACCCCCTCGAGCTCCCTGCGGGCTCCACGCCACGCCCCGGGGCGTGGCGATGCCGAACCGAGGCGGGCTGGCTCAGTAAAGCAGAGGCAGCGGGGGAAGATGGCGGCAGGCGTTCCGCAGCGGGCCTGGACCGTGGAGCAGCTGCGCAGCGAGCAGCTACCCAAGAAGGACATTATCAAGTTTCTACAGGACCACGGTTCAGACTCGGTACCAGAGGCGGCGGGGCGGCGGGGCTGGTGCGGCTGAGGGACGCCTCACCCCCCCGGAGAAGCCCGTACATTCTATATTCCTCTGTGCCCCCGCCCTCGTCCTCCCCACGGCCGGTGGCCTGGAAGGCCGGAGAGGCCTCGCGTGCGCTCAGGAGCCACGCTCCCGCTCCTCCGGCCTGCCCTGCTTGGGCGGGTGGAGCAGGTTCACCGCTTGGGGCTTGCAGGCAGCAATCGCAGAATTAGAGCTCCATTGGGATCCTTGAGTGAGGGTGGAAGCTATGGGAAAAAAAGAAACCCAGGAGATACTGGCGGCTGAGGCGTGGGGCGGTCGAGGGCCGGGGGCTTGAATGAGACCTCTGGAGGGGTGTGCGGGCTGTTAGGGAAATGGGAAAGGATAGGAAGATTTTGTGAGAATGGTGTATGCGATTTGCTTTTCTCATCAATTACTAAATACTGAATAATGCGTGTGATTTTTTTTTAATCGTAAATTGCGATTTAACTTCAAAATAATGGACCTTTATACATGGGGGAGTGAACATGTGCATTTCATGTACAGTGGCCTCCCATTGTTGTAGAAAAACTAAAAATCTATTTGGCATTCTTTATAGATATACCAGCATTTTTCAGCATAGTCTCCATTTTAACCACCGGTCTGTAGTCACGAATTATTTTTGTCAGATTTTTTTTGTTCCAGAAATTAAGATCATTCATACCTCTCAAATTGAACGACTGTACAATTTGTTATGCAGGAGGCATTGCCCACTATAGGAAATAGAAGCATCAGTCTATGTGATTTATGTACAATTTTTTACTTCAGTTCTAGCATTTAGAAATATTGTTTCTGGGTTCTTTTGAGAAGATTGTGGTTTTTCATTTTGAGAGATCTTGAAAGGGAAATAAAATTTTCTCCAGCTTCCAGCCTCATACATACTCTTGAATCCTGACATCAGCAAATACTTATAAAACATCTACAGCAACAGCTGTGCTCATTGTTTCAGGATAGAAGGATGAAAAAGAAATACCACGCGTCAGGGATACCATTTTATACCATTTTACCATCTTGGTGGAATTATTCTAAGCTAGTTCATATTTCAACTCAAACAATAAAGTAAATATTTAACATGTAATACCTCAATACTGTGCTTCATTCATCGAATTCTTATAAAACAAATTATCCCAATGTGGAATCTAATGTAAAGCTGCCCCAGGTGGGACACTTTCAACAGACTTGGATATCAAAATATTTTTTAGTGCATATTCTACAGTGTACATTCACATGCTTCAATGTTGATTTGACAGTCACTGTTTTATTGATCATAAGATACCAAAGAGATGTTTATATTTTGGATATTTTCCTAAAACCTTGCTAAAGAAATCACAAAAATGCCAAAACAACTAATTGCTTCTATTGAATCAAAATAGCCTTTCCCCATCAGCGTTTATCATTTAGAACATTTCTCTAGGACAAGAAGAAAAATACAACAGTGATAGTGTTAGAAAAACTGCTTTATCAAAAGTTTAGAAAAGTCAGAGAACAACAGAGAAGGTAAGACAATAAGGAATCAAGCAAGGTCCACAAGACAGAAAAGGAAGCAGACTAAAATCAAGGAAACAAGTTATTAAAATCCTGTTACATGATTTTGAGATGAAGTTATATGATTTTGATGGCTTGATATCCTGCTGCCAACTTAGTCTTACATTTGAGAGAAATGTAATTCTGTGGATTATCCTTACAACCCTCTGACAAAGATGCTGTTATTTATCTTCCACTATGATGTAGAAACTGAGTCTTTAGGAAAGCTTAGTCACTTGTCTAAAATCAACTAGGATTTTAATCCACAGGGCCTAACTCCACAGCCCCTAAACTTAACCATTATATATCCAGCTTTGTGTGCTTCCTAGTCTGCCAAGAATGGGTTATAGATGTGTCAAGATAGCTGTGCCCAACATGGCTGGAGGCTCTGCTAGAGCCAAGTGACATCCTGCCAGGAGCGGCTTTGCCCAGTTACCAAAGTGTGCTTGCTGTATAAATGTGCTTTTCTGTGAGTTCTGTGATGGAAAAGGGTTAATACACACCTGTGTGACCCGTACATAATATTACACTTCCAGTCTTGTAAATCTCATAAATGCCCAATGTCTTTTTTAAATCTTTTTTTTTTTTTTTTGGTGTTACGAAGTATGGTATAAAATACAATGCTTATTTCATTTTTCTGTTGTTAGTAGTGTTGAAAACATAATTGCTAATATAAAAGGTCATTTTGTAATTTTAGACCCTTATATGAGGGAAATTATTTTGTCTAACCAGCTTTTTTCTTTATAGTTTCTTGCAGAACATAAGTTATTAGGAAACATTAAAAATGTGGCCAAGACTGCTAACAAGGACCATTTGGTTACAGCATATAACCATCTTTTTGAAAGTAAGGTGAGGAGTATTTTATTTTATTATCAGAATATCTTTTTAGATATGTTATTCCCCAAAATAAGTTTTGAATGCATTTATTTGCAGAATATGTTAAAGTTTTACACCTGCAATTTTTCTTAACTTTAATCATAAATGGCTGTCAACTCTAGAAAGGCTAATCTGCAGTATAGTGGGATATTTTGATATTTTGAAAGGGACCAGATTTTTAAAATAATTCCCTAGTAGTTTAAGATGACAAATTCTTAAGGGCACTGAAAAATTGTGAACTCCAAGGTAAGCTCCATTTCATTAATGAATTTAAAGTCTCAGTTAGACTTATGCTGAACCTTTAGAAAACCAAATTTTAAGAAATTCCCCAGTATGTGTTCACTATGAAATGGCCATCTTCCACAGAAAATAATCTTTATTAAGCTGTTTGAATAGTATTCATGTCTCTGAGCCATGCATGGTTCTCTTTTCAGAATGTATATTGTGAGATGGTTTGAAGGTCACAATTTGTTGATTAAAATGCTTAGCATAAGATTTTTCCTTTGTTCTTAGGCAGTTTCCATGGATTTACATTTGAATTATGTGGCCCACATTCATGGTGCAGATGTTCATTGCATTGAGAGGCTGGAAATCTACATGTCCCTCCTCGCTTTTACCCAATCCTGAATGTGATAAACGTTAGAATATTTTCCTTACAGCGTTTCAAGGGTACTGAAAGTATAAGTAAAGTGTCCGAGCAGGTGAAAAATGTGAAGCTTAATGAAGATAAACCCAAAGAAACCAAGTCTGAAGAGACTCTGGATGAGGTTTGTATAGAATGTTGTCTTATTTAATTCTCATGTGAATTTCAGAAAAGTATTTGCTTTACAGCACTGATTTCTCATAGTAAGGGGTGGTTAAATGTGGCCACTTCCAGTGTGCCAAACACTGATTTAGAGTGTACTGAATCAGGAGAAAAAAAAAAA